CGAGCGAATGCGAACCCAGTGAGTTGGACTGACCAAAATCTACAAAGAACGCAAGCAATGATTATGGGTGAACCCCTCGTACAGATTTCGAGGATGATCGATTCTCTTGAATCCCCTCGAACCCTGTACGAAGGTATCTCACCTCTTCTCGCACGATATAACGACAAAAGACACTTTTGCGACATCACGAATCTCCCACGATCTCTTTTGACACCTGCAAAAGAGATACGATTATTACGCTTAGGGGCGAAGACCAATTCTTTGGAACCCTCTGAGCGCCTCGAAATTGGGCTCGGAATCAAAATCACAACGAAACCCGTGCCATGGCAGGACATTCGAGACGCAGTAACACCAGAGGAACACGTGGCCATTCGAGAGCAGGATGCACAAATGATGGCTACGGTATTCTCCTGGCGATCAGATAATTCGTTTATTTCCGCGCCCCCGCCTGAAAACACTAAGCGGGTGAGTACGAAACATATCGATGTATGGATATGGGATGAGTGTACGAGTTGCACATGCCCCAATACGTACCTGATGAGATCCATCACCTAATCGCGAAAATTCTAAAAGAATACAAAGGAGCGATTAGTATGACGGACACAGACATTGGACTGTCGTTAGTCATACAGGATGATACAGCACGAGATTCAAACCGGAAACCATCCCCCGATTCACTGTAAACCCTATAGATACTCCCTGGTAGAACGGAAAACGGCCCTTGAGCGGATTCGAGAATTCGAAGCTAATGGTTGGATCGAACCCGACACCGGGCCATGGTCGTTCCCGGTAGTATTGGTGCCGAAAAAGAACGGATCAATTCGCATATGCATTGATTATCGCAAGCTGAATGACATCACGATTAAGGATGTGTACCGAGTGTACCCCCTTCCCATGATTGATGATTTGCTGGATGCGATTGGATGTGCTAATTATTTTAGTAAATTTGATATTCGTCATGGCTTCCATCACATTCTGGTTAAGGAGGAAGATCGATCGAAAATAATTTTTGTACTGTTCGAAGACACCTGGCAGTGGGTTCGGTGTCCTATGGGGATTTGCAATGCGCCTGCCACGTTTCAACGAGCTATGAACGTGACGTTCCAGAATTTCGTTAACAAGACGCGACTGACTCAGGGGATGATAAACTTCTGCGTCATCGTATACATGGACGACATCCTGGTCTACTCGGAGACTTATCACAGGCACGCACAGCATATCGAATGGACCTTGGGGGCTCTGAGAGATGCCGGATTCAAGATCGCGCTCGAGAAGAGCGAGTTTTTCCTCTCGAAAATCTCGTTCTTAGGCTATGTGGTGACACGCGGACTCGTCGCGGAGGACTACAGCCAGACTCGAGAAAAGTCGCGGCGGTGAAAGTCGCTCCTGTCCCCACGTCATTGACGCAGGTTCGAGCTTTCCTGGGGCTGGCGTCGTACTATCGTCGCTTCATCAAGGGCTTCGTCGCAATTGCGCGACCTCGAACGAACTTACTGCGGAAGGACCAGCCCCTCAGTTGGGATGCAGATTGCGAACAGGCCTTTGTCACTCTCAAGAACGCCCTGGCCACAATACCTATTTTGATCCGGACAGACCCTACGAAGCAGTTCATTCTCATCACGGACTGGTAACCGGAGGCGATCTCCGCTATTCTAGCGCAGAAAGGGAACGACGGTCGTGAACACGTCATCGAATACGCATCACAGACAATACCAGACGAGCGGAGGAATGATTCGGCCCCGCAGGGCGAATGTTACGCCGTGGTCTGGGGAATCCAGCACTTCCATCCGTATCTTTACGGACAAAAGTTCCTCCTTGTGACCGACCACGAGCCGTTCCTGACGCTGAAGAGGCTCACTAATTATACGGGTATGATTGGACGATGGGCTGTGTGCCTACAAGAATACGATTTTGACATCATCCATCGAAAAACAGAGAGGCACGGCAACGCGGACGTGCTGACACGTCTGCATCGACCAACTAAAATACCTAAGGGTGAAGAGATTATTCCGTGGAAGGAACCGGAATCAGTGAACGGACCCAAGTACGGACAAGTGGCAGTCCTTCCACGTGGCAAGAAGCTGACAAGGGGCAATGTGTGACGGAGGTAATCTTGCAACTCCTCTCTCTCCCCTCTCGTCTTCATCTTTTCTTTCCCTCCTCGACAAATTTTGCTATTTTTGCGAAGCAATCTCGCGCGTCTACTCGATCCCTATGCATCCTAGTGGGGAAGGGTATGCAAAATTGATAGATTGTCGACAGTGTGTCGCACGAGCCCACGACTTGAGCATCCAGTACAGAAATGGCGATAAGCCTTGGTTGTGTCCCTTGTGTCGGATTGATAAGATCCCGACTGAGGCTCGATTTCTCGACGCCACGTCAAAAGGGTTAGAGAAGACCCGAAAATTTAGAAGGGCCGAAGTTTGGACGGACATTGCGCTAATTGCCACCTTAGTAGGTAGCCCCCTCCAGGGCTTCACTAAGGAAGACAGGAGGAGGGCCAATGAAAGGGCTCGGGACTATCGCTGGAACGAAGGATGGTTGGAAAAACGGAAGACGGATGGTAGTGGGATTTGGATGGTAGTGCCGCACCCGTTCATGAGGTATGACTGGGTTAAAACGGCGCACGAAGAAACTGCAGCCCATTTTGCCGTCCGAATCACGGAAGCGGCAATCGAGAAGAATGAATGGTATTGGTCCAATATTCGCGATGATGTGAAATTCATCGTCGCGAACTGTCAGGTCTGCGTCGCTGACAAGGCACCGATTCAGCCGCCAAGATCGATAGTGCCGACGGTAGTCGAACAACCTTTTCAAAGGGTTAGCATGAATACTACGGACATTGTGGTAGCTGCGAATATTCAATCCTATTGGTATTTGTAGACCACGTGGCAGTACAGATGGCCACGTGCACATGCAACAGCAGCCACAGGGGGGGGGAATAGCAGCCCGCCCGTTGCTGCTCGCTGCTCGCCGGGCCGGGGGGGGGGGGGGGGGGGGGATAAATAGCCAGCACGGCACCTCTTCAACACGAGTGCGCCGTACTACAAGAACATTTACACTTTGTGGCGAGTGTGTTATCAGGGTGCTTATGCATGCGCATGGCCCAGCAGGTGCCTGGGTTCAAACCCCAGCAGCAACAAAACTCCCGGATCTTGATAATATAAATCCGGGAGCGGGGCGGGGTAGCGCGTGGCGCGCGCGCGTGCGGCGGCCTTGGCCTTGGCGTGGCGCCTGATTTTTCCGCCACATGTCACCTTCTGCAGGCGCCTGCGCGTGGTGGCGCCTGCTTTTTCCCTTCTTTTCGCTGGAAAACACCCGAAAAACAGCGAAAAAAACCATTGTCGGGTTTTGCTGTTTTCCCAGCTGTATGGGGTGGTGGGTGGGAGCAGGGGACGTTCCCGCTCCGATACCAATGTAGGGGACCCACCGGGAAGGTGCTCCGCCTGGGATACAGATGGATATGGAGGATGAGGGAGGAGCGAAATGGCACAGCGCAGCTCCCACGCAAGACTCCAACGCATGCACTCCAAAATCGTGCAACTGTAGAATGATCTCGAAAAACAGACAAAGGCTGGGGTATACCCCAGCGGACTGACGGGACTGGACTGGACTGGCTGGTACCGACAGAGGTACCGGCCTGGACTGGACTGGACTGCCCCCCGAATAGAACACAGGCCTGTGAGAACAGGCCAAGGGGCTGGTCTCACAGGCCAACGAGAGGTCCGCTACAGTCACGCTCATCTTCTCTGTTTTTTTTTTTTTTTTTTTTTTTAAAGGATGTGTGCCATTGTGTG